CAGGGGGATTTTGGGCGACAAATGCAAACATACTCGAAACATACCCCCCAAAACGCCCCAAAATGGTCAAACAATCGTCCCCTGACTATTTTTTGACTCTTTTGGAGTATCCCTCCTGTAGAGGGACAGGCCCGACTGAAGCATAGACCGCCCCTGCTCGCGTCGATGATCTCGGAAGAGAACCTCTCCGACTCGATCACGAGGTTCGCCATGCGCCGCTGCCGCGTATCGAGCCTCCCAAGGTCAGCCGTGTCCACGGGAAAACTGCTTCTCGTGCGCGTCGCCGTTCTCCGAACTCGACGGCCGCGATCCCCCGTCCAGCTCCGAACTCGCCGAACCCGAATGACTTGAAGGATGCACCGCACCACTTCTCCATCCGCCCCCCCCCCGATCTTGCCGAACTCGAAGGACCTGGAGGAGAACTCAGAGCAGCTGCTCCCTTCGCCCCGCTCCACCTCTCCTGCCGAGCCCGAGGGACTCGGCGGCGGGACCTCGCCCTCCTCGCACTCCTTTGGGGCGCGGCTGCCCCAGCCCGCAGGAGCCCAGGGGGAGGCACTCGGCAGCCTCGGCGCGAAGAGGGGGGGGGCTCTTGGCCGCCACCCGCGCCTCGCACACGGCAGCTTCACCACGCCTGCGGGCTGCGGCGCCAGACCGCCCGCGGCCCCGGGAGGGCGCGCGCGGCACGCCGCGCTGCCCGCGGCCAGCAGCTCCTCCGCCTCGCTGCTGGGGCCTGGCTCGTGACGCCCGGGAAAAGGGCCGCCGCCACCGCGGCCCCCACGCGGGGCAGATGGCAGCCGACCGCATCGCCTGCGCGCCGGTGTGCCACCGGCGAGGCCCTCGAGAGCCTCACCCGCTGGGCCCGCGCGGCCGCTCTCGGCTGCCCCGGCTCGCGGCGGCGCTCCCGACGGAGGTCGCCGTGCCCAGGGGTCTGGGCGCTGGCCGCAGCCCAGCACCCACTCCCCTGCGGGGGCACCCATGGCCTCGTGCGCGCCGATGGACTCCCGTGAGCCAGCTCACTTTGAGCCAACATGGCTACGGAGGAGGAGGAGCAGGAGGAGGAGGAGGAGGAGGAGGAGGAGGAGGAGGAGGAGGAGGAGGAGGAGGAGGAGGAGTTGGGACTTTGGTTGGGGCCGAGGGCTTGCCCTCCTCTTGATCCGTATCTGCTGAGTGACTGAGCGACTCTCATCCGCAGTTGCTGGTTGTGCTCTGGGTTGACCCTTGATGTCTAACGGTGCATTGCCTGCTGCTGCCTCTATTTTCCTTTTCCCCGTCTCCTTCAACTTTTTACTCAGGATAGGCTGCGAACTTCTATTGCCTTTAGCTCTGTACTGTACTGTACTGTACTGTACTGTACTGTGAGGAGAAGAAGGAGTAGGAGAAGAAGGATGGGGAGGGGGAGGGGGAGGAGGGAGGAGGGAGGGAGGAATAGGCGGATGAGGGATGAGAAGGAGGAGGAGGAGGAGGAGGAGGAGGAGGAGGAGGAGGAGGAGGAGGAGGAGGAGGAGGAGGAGGGGAGGGGTGAAGGGAGCAGGAGAGGAGGAGGAGGAGGAGGAGAGGAGGAGGAGAGGAGGAGGAGGAGGAGGAGGAGGAGGGAGAAGGAAGAGGAGGAGGAGGAGGAGGAGGAGGAGGAGGAGGAGGAGGAGGAGGAGGAGGAGGAGGAGGAGGAGGAGGATGGCGAGCAGAGAGGCCAGAGGCCTCTTGGATTCCCCTCGGAGTCTCTTCGGGTGCCTCTCGAGAGTTTCTTGGGGTCCTCTTGGGGTGTTTTGGGGGCCTCTCGGCCCACGAGGGCTCCAAGAGGGCCAGAAGAAGCCCCCGTGCAGTTTCCAAGCGGCCCTATCGAGAGATCCCTAAATCAGGACCCAAGAGGCCCCGAGGAGGGCCCCGAGCGGGCTCGAGACACCCCAAACCGTTTGGAGAGCGCCGGGGCCGCGCAGTCCCACCACGGAAGCCCCATGGGCAACCCAAGGGGAGACTGGATGTTCGGCCGCACGCGCGCCGCGGCCATCCAGACGTTTTGTTGCTGCGTCGGCGGCCAGGCAGCGGTCGTCCGCGCTGGCGGAGTGAGGAGGCCATGCAGACGTGCGGGTGCTGGCTCTCTCTCGTGCCTGTGCCCTCTCGCTCCTTGCTCCTCGCCCCTCGCCTCCCTCTCCTCGCTACGGGCTTCTCTCTCCTCGCTCCTCCTCGCTACTTCCGCCTCTCTCCTGGCCCGTCGCTTCTCCCTTCTGGCTCCTGACGTCTGTCTACTCTTTCCTCTTTCGGCGCTCCCTCATTGCCCATCTCTCTCCTCGGCCGTTGCTCCTCCCTTCTCGCTCCATGCTCCTCGCCGATCGCTTCTCGCTGATCGCTCCTCGCTTCCCCTACCTCCCCGCTCGACCCTGAATCCTCGTTCCTGGCTCCTCACTCCTCGCTCCACTCACGAGCTGCAGGTTGCGTCACCTTTCAAGGGTACCAGAAAGGAGCACTCTGCAGCCTCAAGAGCTCCTGAGACAGCCCAGGACGCCCACCAGGGGCCTCTGGAGGCTCCCAGCTTGGCCAAGATAGCCCCAAGACGGCTCCAAGGGAGGCCCAAGCAGGCCAACTCTGGAGCAACCTCCCTCCCCATCTGGCCGTCTCCAGCGAGCCCCCAAGACGCCCCCCGAGAGTCTCCCAGGAGGCCCCGGAGACGCTCCCAAGACGCTCCCAGAAGCTGCGGCCTAGGCAGACACCTCCCGAAACCCCTCCCCTAACCCCTCCCCCCAGGGTGCACTGCAAGTTGGTACTTCGTGGGGGCGCCGGCGGCCGCCTGAGTGTTTCTGGGCCGAGCCGCAGACGCCCAGGATCGCTTTTTCAGGTGCACCTCTCGCACGGCGCGTTTCCCAGTTTGTATATGTAGATACATATCTATACAGATAATAAGTATTAGTGACATTCTATCGGGGGACGAAATCTATACATATCCACTGCTCCCTGGCCAGGCCCATCCTGAACCCAGGAGCTGTGTATACGCCCTCCTGGCCAAACCAGGAGGGCGTGGCGTATACACAGCTGCTGTGTTCAGGATGGGCCTGGCCAGGGAGCAGTGGATATGTATAGATTGCGTCGCCCTTTTCTATAGATATACGTGTATATATATATAGATATAAAAGATGATTGTTTGTTCCTCCTCGACCTCCTCGTCTTTCTTCTCCTCCTCCTCGCTGCCCACGGCTCCCTCTGCCCAGTGGCTACCGTGTTTTGCTGGTCACGTCGCTCCGACTCGCTATCGGACTACTGCCGATGCTGCCAGATCCGCTGCTGCTGCTGCTGCTGCTGCTGCTGCTGCTTCTGCAATCGCTGCCCTGGACGCCGACACACATCAAGCACACAGCTCGCGCTCCAACGTACGCAGCAGCAGGCGCACCCTCGATACTCTGGCACTCGTGCACGGTAGTCCACGGGTCAGCCCTAGTTAGCTTCAACGCTGGGATCAGCGCGTGCGGAAAGGGCGAGCAGTGGCAGCGGGCTCTGGCGCTGCTCAGCGAGCTGCGGGAGGCGACGGTGGAGCCCGACGTCATCCACCCCGCAGTCGAGCAGCTGGCTCAGGGACCTCCTCCCGAACAGGCTGGGCCAGCGCTTCTGAACCGACTCGGCCGGAGAGCTGGCTCAGTTGTTCTTGAGCACGCTCGCCCCCCCAGCGTTGTCAGCAGAGGTTTGCCCAGATGATTCTTTGTCAGGGAAGCCTCCAGGAAGGTGGTGGCCCACAGTCCTCTTGTGTGGCTGGGAGCGGCGCGTTCCAGAAGGATGGCGGCCTCGAATGGGCCAACATCCCTCCCCCCCCCCCCCGCGGGCGCTAGGGAGGGCCCCCGCGCGCCTCGGGGGTCGGCTCCTACGCAGCCCAGGACGCCTGCTGGGAGCCCCAGGAGAGGCCCCCGAGACGACAAAAAGACGGGCCCGCAAGACGGCTCCGCGACGCCCCGCAGTGTCTCCAGGCGGCCAGACCACGGGCCACGGGCCAGGGTGACCCCGATGACGGCCCGATGTGGCGAGGCACAAGCAGTAGAACCCCATGCCAAGAAACACCCTGCCTGCTTCCAGGGTGCCCAGGGTCTCTTGGGTTTCGATGGTTGCGCTGTGGAGAGCGTGACGTTCCCGCCAGACATCTATGGACGTCCCGGGGTCTCAGGGTTGGGTTTCTTGTGGAAGGTCTCTTGTGGTCGAGCTCCTACTGTAGCTATTCCTTACAGTAGCTGTTCCAAGGTTTTTCGTAGGGGTCTCGCCAGTCCGGGCAGAGAACGGGCCAAGACGGCTACGGGCTCCTCCCAGAACGCCCCCAGACGGCCGACGAGGCTCAGCTACAACGCTGGGATCAGCGCGTGCGAGAAGGGCGAGCAGTGGCAGCGGGCCTTGGCACTGCTCCGCGAGATGCGGGAGGCGAAGCTGGAGCCCACCGTCGTCTGTCCTATAGAGCACCGGGAGAGCAGCGCGTGGAACTTGCAGCTCGTGGCAAGGCCGGGGGCCCGCCGGGAGGGCCCGCCGGGAGGGCCCGCCAGGAGGGCCTGCGCCTCCCAGAGGGCCCAACGCGAGTCCAGGATGCCTCCAAGTTCGCCGAAGATGCCTCCGATACGGCCGAGGATGGCCTCGAGATGGCCCAAGATGGCGCCCAGACGGCCTCAGAGGGCCCCAAGGCAGCCCAAGACGGGCTCCAGACGGCCGAGAAGCCGTCCAAAAAGGCGTCCAGAGGGCTCCAGGAGCACACCCGGCAGGGTCTCCCCGTGTAGACATTGAAGGTTCTCTGCCGATGTTCGAAGATTTTCAGAATACACGGCTTTTGGGCCCTTGCAGCGCGGGGCAATCTGCGAGGTCCCCTGCTGGGTGCTCCCAGAACCTCCTGCACGAGACCCAAGAGAGCTGCAAGACAGCTCAGGGACGCCCCAAGACGGCCAACAGGCGCCCGAGACGGCCCAAGATGGCCCAGAGATAGCCCCGCCACGTTCCCCTGCCAGGGCACCTGCAGATTTGCTCCACGGGTGCGCACTCGTCAGTTACAATGCTGGGATCAGCGCTTGTGAGAAGGGCGAGCAGTGGCGACGAGCTCTGGCGCTGCTGCGCAAGATGTCGGAGGCGACGCTGGAACTCGACGTCATCAGCTACAGCGCTGGGATCAGCGCGTGTGGTAAAGACCAGCAGTGGCAATGGGCGCTATCGCTCGTCAGCGAGTTGGTTGAAGCGAACGTTGAGGCTAGCGTCATCAGCTGCAACGCTGGGCTCAACGCTTGCGCGAAGGGCGAGCAGTGGCAGCGGGCGCTGGAGCTGCTCAGCGAGATGCGGGAGGCACAGCTGGAGCCCGACGTCATCAGCTACAGCGCTGGGGTCATCGCTTGCGAGAAGAGCGAGCAGTGGCATCGGGCGCTGGCGCTGTCCAGCCAGATGCGGGAGGCAACGCTGGAGCCCGACCTCATCAGCAACAATGCTGCGCTCAGCGCTTGCGGGCAGGGCGAACAATGGCAGCGGGCACTGGCGCTGCTCAGCGAAATTCGGGATGCGAAGCTGGAGCCCGACGTCATCTCTTCTACAATGCAGCGCCTCCTGCGTGTCAGAAGGCCCTGTGTCTTTATTTTTTTTTCTGACTCTCGCAGGCCCCCAGAGCTAAAAAGCACAGCCCGGGCGCTTCAAGGCAGCCCAAGAGGGCCCCAAGACGGTCCAAGATTGTCCGAGACGGCCCAACATGACTTTCAGACGGCCCAACAGGGCCTCAAGATGGCCCAAGAGCGGCTTCAAGAGGCCCCCCGAGGGGGCCCCGAGAGGCGAAAATCATTGACTTCCTTCAGTGTTCAAAGGATGTTGACGTGCTCGCCTTTTCGGCCAATATCGCCTCCAGATGGCCCACGAGGTCCCCAAGAGGGCCCCCAGGCAGCCCAAGAGGGCCCCAAGAGGGCCGAATCGGTCCCCCTAGAGGGGGAACCCGAACGGACATGTCGCACCACCCGCCCCAAGAAGATGACCCTCGGGACCGTCAGGAGCCCCCCAGACCCCACAAGCCCCAGGAGGCCCATGAGGCCCAACGCAGGCCCCAAGAGACCCCCAAGAGGCCCCCAAGAGGCCCCGAGAGGCCCCCCAAACCGCGTGCTTTTCGTTTTGAAAGCGCCCAAGACGACAGTACAGTCTCCCAGGATTGTCACCAGAGCGCCCAGGAGGCGCCCGGGAGGGCCCGAAGACGGCCTAAAGCGGTCCCAGGACGGCTCCTGAGGCGCCCATGACGGCCCAGGAGGCTCCCATGACAGCCCCAAGAGAAGCCAAAGACGACCCGAGAGAGCCCCAAGGCGGTCCGAGGACAGCCCCGTAGTCGCCCAAGACGGTCTCAGACGGCCCCAAGACGGGCCAAGGGGCACCCAAGACGGCCCAAGAGGGCCCCAGGAGGCTCCCAGGAGGCCGCCAGACGGCCCAACAGGGCCCGAGAGGTTCTCACAAGGCGGAACGCGGCGCGGCCACACCCGCGGGAAACAAACCACGATTTCGAGGTTGATTTTCCGACGCCCTGGGTCGGAGCAGTCAACCCTCGCCCAGGACGTTCGTCGACTCGCCACGTCCACGGAATGCCAGCACCTAATTCGAAGTCTCCCTCTCAGGCTCCAGATGGGGCACAGACGTCTCGCCCAGATCGTTCGTGCATCAATGACGCCCACAAAAAATACTCCGTAACCTCGGAGGCCATTCTCCATGGTCCTGCGGTCGGCCCAACAAAAACGCCCTCCCAGACCACTCCTCGGCCCGACACGTCGACGGAAAATAAACACCGTGCTCGAGGTTTATTCTCCGAGGTCCCAGGTGGGCAAAAGGGTTCTGGAGAGACGTCTTTTGTCTACCTGCGCTTTGGCGCTTACGCTGGAGTTCTGGGTTTCGTTTCTGCGATGTTCCGTCTATATCCTCCCAATGCATGACCTGGGGCGCGGCCACACCCACGGAAAATACACCCAGACTTCGAGGTTTACTTTCCAACGCCCTGGGGCGGAGCCGTTAACCCTCGCCAAGGACGGTCGTCGTCTCGCCGCGTCCAGGGAATGCCAGTACCAACTCTGAAGGTTTCCTCCAGGCTCCAGATGGGGCACAGACGTCTCGCCCGGATCGTTCGTGCATCAACGACGCCCACGAAAAATACTCCGTAACCTCGGAGGCCATTCTCCATGGTCCCGCGGTCGGCCGAGAAAACGCCCACCAAGACCATCCCTCGGCCCGCCACGTCGACGGAAAATAAACGCCACGCTCGAGGTTTAGTATTCGAGGTCCCAGGTGGGCTCCAGGGTTCTGGCGAGATGTCTTTCGCAAACCTGCGCTTTGGCGTTTACTGGAGTTCTGGGTTTCGTTTCTGCGGAGATGGAGGGTGGAGGAGAAACCACTATTGTGTCAGAGAAGGGCGCGCAGCGGTTCTACCCTCCAGCTCGGCGCACCCCTCACACGGCTCGTGGCTGCATTCGGAGCGCTGCCCGTCTCCGAGGGTGCGGGCACAAGGGCGCGAAGGTTACCCTGCCTCGCGCGGCGCAGCGCCGCGAGGTGTTTGGTTGGCACACGATCTGGGCGTGCTTCCGAGAGGCGGCCCAGGCGATGGACGCAGAGAGGATGCCAGCCTCTGCCCAGGCTCGGGCCAGACGAAATCAGCGGAGGCCGAGTTCACACACAGACAGTTCGCGTTCAGGAGGGCTCCTCGCCGCCACGGCTGGACGCAGTAGACAACACTGGTGCGCTTCGACAGTGGGGGAGGGCCCAGGGACCGAATCTGACAGCTCTGCCCCCCCCTTCCTCGGCCGCGACAGGCTGTGCAGGCACGCGGGACGTCCCGCCAGTTCGGCGGAGTGTGGTCCCCATCCACTGGCCAGGCTCCGGCGGCTCGCCGCGCGCCACCGTCATCGTCGTCGTCGCTGCCACTGCCAACGTCCAAAGCGGGGCGCTGCTGGAGAACGGGCTCACGCCATGTGGATAGCCTTTCGGCAGCGTTTCCGCCGCTCCCCCTAGAACCATTTCGGCGAGATGTCGTGGACGGAGGAGAGGCCACGGGTCAGCCCTAGTCTCTACTACATTGCAGGGCCCAGTGCGTGCCAGAAGGGCGCAGGATCAAGTGACTCAAAACCGCCCCGGGCTGGCCCCGGGCCGCCCCGGGCCGCCCAGGCAGGCCCCAGGACATGTTGAGAGGGCCCCCCGAAGCCCCCAAGACGGCCCCGGAGAGCCCCGGCACGCTTAAAGATGGGCCCAAGACGCCCGAGATTCGCCCCAGGCGGCCCAAGAGGCGTCCAAGACGCCCGAAGAGGCCTCCCAAGAGGCCTCCCATGAGGGCCCCGAGCGACAGAAATCGTAGATTTCTAGTGTGTTTTTCGATGTTTTCGGCCTCCTCGCCTCGTCGGCTTCCCGACGCTCCAAGACGGCCCAATAAGCTCCCCCGACCGCTCCAAGACGGCCGAAGAGGACCCCAAGAGAGCCCCAAGACGGGCCAGGAGGGCCCCCAGACGGTCCCAAGACGCCCCAGGCCCAGGACGGCCCAGGAGGCGCCCAAGACGGCCCAAGAGGCACCCAAGACGACCCCAGGAGCGGCCCAAGACGGCCCACGACAGCCCAAGAGGCGCCGAGGCGGGTCTCAGACGGCCCCAAGACGGCCCAAGAGGCACCCAAGACGGCCCGAGAGGGCCCTAAGAGCCCCCCCGGGAGGCCCAAACGAAGGCCGAAGAGGCTCCGAAACGGCCCCCACGAAGCCTTCAGTGGCTTCAGAATTCCCTCCAGGAGCGGGGGAGCGGACGAGAGGCGACAGGCATATCGCAGGCAAAAACGCCCCAAGAGATCCCCAAACGGCCCCCACGAAGCCCTAAGTGGCCTCAGAATTGCTTCCAGGAGGGGGGGAGCGGACGAGAGGCGACCGGCATATCGAAGGCACAAAAGAACAATGTTGGACGCTCCGAGGGCCTTCGATGTTTCTCCGTTGGGGAGAGTCGTCGTAGGATCGACGATTGCCGACCGAGGGCAGCGAATCCAGTGGAGGCCCAAGAGGCCCCCAGGAGCCCAAAAGAGATCCCCAAGAGGTGCCACGGGGCTTAAAAACTGCTTCGAAGCGAGGGGGGCGGACGAGGGGACCGCCTCAGGAGGTTTTGGACGGTTTTGGGCCTCAAAATCGTCCGCGTTACGACGGTTTTGGAAGGATTTTGGCCTTCTCGCCTTTTCCGCTTTCCGACGCTCGAAGACGGCCGAAGAGGCCTCCAAGAGCGCTCCAGAACGGCCCAAGAGGTTTCCAAGAGCGCCCCAAGACAGCCCAAGAGGGCCCCAAGACGACCCAAGAGACGCTCAAGACGGCCCACGAGGGCCCGAAGACAGGCCCAAGAGGGGGCCAAGAGGGGGACCACGGACCGAAAATCCGAGCCTTCCGCCCCAAGAGGGCGCCAGGAGGCCCAAACAGGCCCCCAAGAGGCCCCAAGGGGGCTCCCAAGCAGCCCAAACGAGGCCCCTTCAGAGGCCCCAACAGCTTCCAAAATGGCCCCGAAGAGGCCTCGAGCCCGCCTCCGAGCTTCCTCGCCGCGAGGGTGCCAACACGGCCCCAGACCGGCCCAGGACGGCCCAAGGCGCGCTCAAGACGGCCCAAGACGATTCCAAGACGGTCCCAGGAGGGTGCGCCCAGGACGGCCCAAGGACGCGCCCGTTCGGGGCCTCAAGACGGGCCAAGATGGCAAAGAGTCCCAGCTGGCAAAAATCGTTAATTTTCCATTGTTTACTGTTACACCCTTTGCGTTTCCCGCCGTTTCGGCGGTCCGATGCACCAAGAGGCCCCAGAAAGTCCCAGGAGGGTCCGAGGAACCGCCCAGGAAGGCCCCAAGACGGGCCAAGACGGACCCAGCACAACCCAAGGCGCGCTGCGACGGCTCAAGACGGCTCCAAGACAGCCCCAAGAGGGTGCCAACACGGCCCCTGCTGGGCCCAGGACGGCCCAAGGAGGCGCACAGGAGGGGCCCAAGACGACTCCAAGGCGGCCTCCTCACGGTCCCAGACGGCTCCAAGACAGCCCCACGAGGACCCCGATGGGCCCAGGACGGCCTACGGACGCGCCCATGAGGGGCCCACGACGAACCAAGACGGCCCCATCAGGGCAAACGGCGCCCTCAAGACGGGCCTAGACGGCTCCAAGACGGCCCTTTGAGAGAGCCAACGCGGCCCCACACCCTTCGGGCGCACACTTGGGGGGGCTGGGAGCTTGCGACAAGTCTCCCACATTCATTGTCCTGCCCCATTCTGTTCGCCTGGAGGCCTCCTCCAACCCTGTGGGCGAACAAGAGGAATCCCAGCGGGACGCCAACCCTGGGGCCCGTGGGCCCCGCGCCGCTTGGGCAGAAGACGAACGC